AACATAAAAGGAGTTATATTTTACGATCTGTGGTTATTAAACCTCGTTCTGAAAGTGGCACCGGTTTCTCCTATGTAGGTACCGTGATTACATACCTTGCATGTTATAACGTAGATAAGGTTAGATGAGTTGCATGAAAAAGGTGGAGGGTGATCGGGAGTGAAATAGTGCTGTCAGATACAATATGCTTGCAAATTTGACAACAGGGCTTGTTACATTTTATGTTACCATGTGAGGGAGGTGTAGTGGTGGTACGTGAAAAGGTTAGTAGGGTTTTCAAGTTAGGGGTTGACGGTGAGCGAGAAGGGGTTGGGTGTCGAACAAGTGTTGTATGGATTTGTCGAGTTTAAGATGAGCAAAGTCGTTTTTAATAGTGTTAGTGACGGTCATAGTGGAAGGATGAAATTCAAAATTAAGTGTAATTTCATCTACGTTATAACATGTAAGGTGTGATCATGGTACCTACATAGGAGAAACCGGTGCCACTTTTAGAAGTAGGTTTAACAACCACAAATCGTCAATCTGCACTAGTAAAAACCTTCCCATTGCCACTCATTTTAATTCTCCCAATCACAGCATCACTGATATCAAATGTACCCTCATAGCTAGGAACTTTACATCATTGAAAGATCGCCGTGTTATACCGAGCTTAAACTCATTCTCAAGCACAAAACCCACATTGGGCTTAGAGACATTGATTTTCTTAGTGACTACAACCATGGTCCATGCTACAACTTTCCATACACTTAAATTGCATCAGCTCTTTCCATTCGTTATAATATAGGCCTATATAATTATATATATATACAATATATGATGCTTCTATGCATACCATTGTTGTTTTATACCATTTATTATATTATATGCTATATAGATACACTGTGTATATCCGTCATTATAATTTTTTTTGCTATTCGACTTTCGATGTTTTACACATTTTAATTATAATTATAGCTTATCAATCTTGTAGCCTAATACACTACTAGGCCTATAGCTATCATTACTTAAACCCTGATTACTTTTCACCGCTTTGATCACAGCTTAGACTAGAGTAATTATAAGCTGTGATAATTGACCATTAACTCTAAGCCTATCACAATAATATTGTTTATATGTATAATATATCTCTTGTATCAGCCACATTTTGTCATTTAGTTTTATAAGCTGAAAAAGACCAGAGGACTGGTCGAAAATTTCTTTTGAAATAAACAAGTGTTTTATAGTCCACATGACTCGTTGCTTTAATTCCTTGTTTCAACGCCTTTTATATAATTTCAAGAACACACGTGGATTTATGATAATATATATTTATTACATATATACATAATGATAATGATAGTCCCTAAATTATGCATAGTGTTGAAACAGGAGAGCTTCACAAGGCAGCGTCTCTAGTATATCTACTGGACCGGTACCGTAACTATTTGGGTCCCAGTCCGCTCCTGCGTTAATAGTATGCCTGCATAAGGACGTAAATTATACCATGGACATATTAATAAGGTAAATTATACCATGGACTTATTAATCGGTCCATGATTATACCACCTACGGGAGATATCAAAATTAATTTGATACGGTGCTTAACAAATTAATAATATATTGGCTGTGCTTGTGTCAGTCTGTAGCCTGGTAACAATTCAATGTGCAGTGTATTTGTTAAATAATTGAGTGCAAGATCATAAATACATTAAACTTGTATCAATAATTTGAGACGCAATAATACTGTAACTAACAAACAAAATTACTGATAAGGTAGACATATAAATTTTACAATGTTTCTATTTTAAGAAATAACAATAGAACCACACATCAAATGTCATCGTTGGCAACGACGGACAACATGTTATTTTGATAGTACAATAGTGATGTAATGATGATATGGTGGTTATGTGACAATAGAACTATAGGCCTAATCGTATTATTTATTGTTAGCATTGTAGATTTATTTAAACAATACCGTACGTTCGCTCTAGATATTTGTAGAATATAATTGAATTTTCGGAATAAATTGAATTCGAACAGCAACATCATGCTCAGTGAGAGTTAATTGTTCTACAAGAGAATCATGGCTACATCAGGGATGTTTTCTTTTCTCTTAAAGGTACGAAGTATTTACATGTTTTCTTGATATTAATATAATATAATAAAACACTGTGTCGGTAATGAATACTCGGATACTTACGCATTTGACTCTCGAAATAGTAACATTTTTTGCAAAGAAATATTTCGACTATTCTTTGCATGAACAAATTCTACATGAGTAGTCGAAATACAGTTTAGTGTTTTTGAAGTCAAGTTTTTACGTACCCTGAGTATTCATTACCGTTACACAGTATTATATTTTATGTTTCAAAATACACTTGGACACAACTTCATAATATGTATATTTTAGATTATAGATGAAATGTTTGAAGGTTGGAAGTAACAAAACTCAGTCACTCTATCCATCCAAGCCTTCGAATATTTCTTCCGTTTATACTTACCATGAGGCAAATCTTAACAGGCGCTCTGAAAGCAATCATTCCCTTCTGTTATATTTATGTTTTGTATATATTTATGTTATATATA